GAATGCACTTCCTGTGTTGAGATGTAGTGTGTCCTCAAGTGTCAGCAGTGCTTTGAAATCATATGACCTGCCATCCTGAATGTCTCAGGGGGAAGTGCGGGCTAGAAGTTGTCAGACAGAAGCCGCGAATCATAAAAAGAACTAATAGACCTGGACGATAATAATAATAAACGAGACAGAAATAAACTCAACTTAAATAGCAGTTCTCATATTGTTCAGCTGCAGGTCCAAAATGATGGACAAATGCTGTCCAGACAAGAAATAATTGCCTAAATGTCGCCTTTTTGGGGACGTGAACACTGGCTGTGTTTACATGCGAAGATTTTTGCCGATCCGATTAAATACCTTCCCGATTATATATTAAGACTGAGGTGTTTATGCTCACTCTGCTCAACAATCTGATGGAAAATCTCTGTTTACATGCTCACTACAAGTAATCAGATCGAAACCACTTAGTGTGGACGTTACCATGACAACGAGAATCACGTCCAGTCCAGTCAGAGTGAGGGAAGCAGCAGTGAGCAGCGCTTGTGTTTTTAATTACTTTAAAATGATGTCAGACTCAGGAAAACGTCCTTCACATGTCCTTATTAAAGAAGGCCGAGAGGAAGACGTCGTGTTCTGAGACACATAAGCTGGACGTCCGTCCCACCGCCGTCTTTTAAAGACCAGAGCATAAACTTCGTCTCCTCTGCAGACCAGTTTCTGCTCCGCCATGTTGAACGGTATAAACTTTCACTATGACGCGACGAACATGATCAGAACGGACTTAAACTTTCCGATAGGGAACGTAATCGGATACAGGCGTTTACACGGATATTATTCTTCTGTTTAACAGATTATTTACAGGATTAACCCACCTCGATCAGTGGGATAGAAATTATATTCTGGCCTCAATTGGACTAGTCTATTCCGAATGAGCAGTTAGTTGGAGTACTAATGGATTATCAGGCTGCATGTAAACGTGGCTACTGTTGGAATAAGAGTGTTCAAGTAAGTGGATGTGGAGCTTGCCAAAAACGATTTCTGTTGATTTCAACGATTGGCGTACAGCGGCTCTTACTGTACGTCACCAGGTCTAAGCCTCGTTCCGTGTTATTTCAAAAATATTTAGTAAACGTCAGTGGCTGAATGTTAAATAGTGCTGCTAACTAGGAGAGAGGAGCTGGTTAACATTAGCTTAGCTACCTTGAAAACGGCTCTGCTCACCACAGAACGTGTTCGATTCTGGCTCATTAGAGCACCGACACAAGTTTAGATGAGAAAGATTTAAATCTGAGGGAGTGAAGTGGAGCGATTGGCACTGAAGGGACAGAGAGACAGAATTAAGAACAGCTTAGCGAGCAAATCCGAACAGCAGACGACAGTACCGGTTTCATTCTGACTCACTGCTTCTCTGCCGAACCACGTTCAGATGATAAACTCTCATGTCTGAGGGAGCAAAAGTCGAGTGTCTGGTGTCGGAGTGACAGAAAGCCGAAGTCAAACCTGTTCTGTGGAGTTTGGGACTGTAGCGTTTTGGCCAAAGCCGGGGTCACACTACAGACCTTCACCCTGATTTTAGCCCCGATTCTCAGTCGGGCCGAGTCTGAGCTGGTCGGCTCTAGTCTGGAGATTTTTTGGCTCAGTTGGAGAGAGAATCGAATCGAGTCGTGGGTGAGGAGCAGACTCAGATTTTTGGCCTCGTGATCACATTTCAGACCACTCAGAGTTTATCAAACGTTTGATTTTTTCAACCCGACTCTCAGCGTAATCTAGTAGTGTAAACAGCTCAACGACTCAACCTGAACAGATTCCTCCAGCAGCCAATGAAAACTTTTCCTGCCTCTGTTTTTTTCCCCTAATTTCTATCAGTGCCGTCTACCATTGAGCTCCCACACCACCAATCAGCGACACCTCTAAAATATACCTGAGTGAAATGTCTTTATTTAGCCCTTCAGATGTGGAATAATAAATTCGACACCATAATTTGGAAAAACTTCTTTCATAACTATTTTTTAAATACTGTGGTTAACCTTATTACTGTCGTACCGCTTAACCGTAGCACTGAAATCAGGTGCTTAACAGATTAACGTTAAACAGCAGACGTAGCCACTTTTTTGCGACAGCCTCAGGGGTTTAAGTCGTCCAGTTTCAGTGGTCTAACAGACAGTATAGGTAGGGCTGAACGATTTGGGGAGAACTTGGCAAAACACTTAAGGTGGAACGGGAGAATTTGAACGAGAAACTGATTCAGCTTTGCGACTTTTTAGCGTTTGACAGTTTCTCATTGCAGATTAAACGTATCAGGAAACCAGCTGGAGTGACTATAAACACAAATAAGTCCATTAATCTCCAAATTATCGATGTTCATCTTAAATCTTTGCCGATTCGTTAGCGACTAACTAGGCCAGATTGTTGTCTGCGTTGCTATGGTGACCATCAGTCTGTACACCAATCTTCAGGGTTAAAGGGTGAATTAGCAGTTCTACATTAACTCCAGAGTTTAAGACCATTTATTGTTAAACTGTGTTGAACGATCAGCAGAGCTTTATTTTACTGTAAAGGAGGATTATTTTATTTTTACCTACAAATCTGATTCTGCTGTGGAGCCACAACAGGACAGTAGAAGAGCCGCATGTTGCCGACCGCTCAACTAGATGGTTAGGTACAGATTAGCTCTTAAACTAGGTGCACACATTAATTCGGTGTTAGACCTTTTCTGTTCACAACTATATACACCATTTTCTTGTTGAAACGTTTGAATACTGTGTAAAAATGTGCATATTTAAGCATCAGAAATAGTTAAAATACTCATTTCTGGCCCTAACAGATGCAGTTTGGTTACTGAGAGCTGAATCAGGATCAGTATTTTTGCTTTGAGACACTGTGTGTATGAATAGACATGGTGGCTGCTGATTCATAAAGGGTTTGTGGTCTCAGCAAAGGGTTAAAACCGTCTTAGTGTTTGTCTTTGTGTTCCTCTGACCTCTCTCGCTCTCTCTCCTTCTCTTTCTCTGTGGTAATTACTCTTTAAATGCTTTCGAGTTGAAAGTACTGAGTGCTAAATGTTTTGATTTGGGGAAAGGTGAGTTTGCAGCTCCACCTGGTTGCCTGGAGCCGCTAAAAGGAACATTGTGCAGTATTTCTACGTCTTTTCAGCCAATTTTATATGAACTTTTTCACTTGTTCACTTGATGACAGTGCAGATTTGCTTACGACAGTAATGGCCGCCAGGGCTGGAAATGCAGTGTGTTTATGGGACTGAATGAATTACTTCAGTTCTACCACTTTTATTGGCAAGTTCGATGGCAATTCAACACCAATTTCCGATAGTTGATCTTATCAGCATCAGTTTGCCAACATCTAGCCTGGTGATTGGCTGGCTGGCTGTCTAAATTACCTTCCGTAAGCGTGTTATTAATATCAGCACTTCTTGAATTCTGCTCGGTCCTCCTTTGGTTACTGTAGTTTGTTGCGGTCAGTAAATGCACCCACTTCCAGCGCCTCACACTCATTTCTGGTTTAAGCCACACCCACTTTCAGTTTGTGTACAAGTATCAAAGCTGTATTATGGTCACACCTTTTAGATAAATAAAAATGTGTTTCCTTTGCACATCAGCTGTTACTCGTGTTACACATCAGCTGAGACTGGATATATGTTGTTGGGGCTGGGCTTTACACAAACAACATATAAGTGCTGTTAATACATTTAACTTAATCAATACACAAATAGATTAACTTTTATTAGAGAAATAAGAATGTGTCAGTGGTGTCGGAACAAAACCTTCTATCTCGAAAATGGTAATTTTACAAGAAATGAAATGAACATTCTGACTTTTGCATAGAAATAAATGGAACAAAATTTTTTTTCAAACACTTTTGGAACATTTCTGTTGTTCAGTACATAAATTTTGGCAAGTTGTTAAGTTCAGCTGGCATTTTCAAATTCTGTAAAAAAAAATAAATAAAAAATAAAAAGTACAAAGTGGCAAAAATTGAGATGAAAGGTTTTGTTCCAACAGCACAACAATTTTTTTTATATATGAATTTGTATATGTATTTTTTATATATATATATATATATATATATATATATATATTATTTACATTGTGACATGTGACATACATGTCATGATGAATGAAATGTTTGTAAAAAAAAATAAATAAATAAAAAAATATATATATGCATACACATATAATATCAATGCTGTCGCAACAAAACCTCGTATCTCCGTTTTTGCTGTTTTTCAGTTTTTGACATAACGTGAAAAATACCTGTCACCCTTTACGTTGTGTGTAGATTTCATGATGAATGGACCAGAAGAAACGACCCAAAATTACTTGGGGGAAAAAAGTCTGGTTCCATTGACTTACATTAGAAGTGAAGTGTGTTTTTTCCTTCTCCTGTAAAGTTACCATTTTGGACATGTGTGTGTGTGTATGTTTGTGTGTGTATGTTTGTGTGTATATATATATATATATATATATGTATTGAAAAAAAGTCATTTTAGGTTGTTTCTTTTGGTCCATTCATCATGAAATTTACATACGATGTAAAGCGTAACAGTTATTTTCAAATTATGTCAAAAACTGAAAAGCATTAAATATGGAGATATGAAGTTTTCTTCCGACTACATTTGTGTGTGTATAAATATGTGTATATTTTTGCGTGCGTGATGACGTATTTGTTAACATCATATTTTTCTTTTAATTTTAAAGATAATATTGACAAGAATATTGTTTTGGTATCGATCGAGCGTTTTAAACAAGCCCTGATGACGGCTTACATTTAATACTGAATCATAACTCGAGCCAAACGGTAATTGAGGAAAATTGGCTGGAACATCTGCGTTGTAGCTTTTGATAATGAGGGTCCGGTTCTTTAAGCTCAGGAAGTATCAATCACAATCAAATAGTTTGGAACGAATGGTAAAGTCTCTGGTTCCTTCCTGCTTTTCTTTGCTGTATAATTGCTGTTGAGTGAGTGTGATATTAATCACTTGTCTCTGCCTGTTTCAGCTCTTCAGTGTCAGGGCCCTGTGACGCCGTGTGTGTCCGGTGGTAGCTGCGTCGCCTTTGCCAATGGAACAGGATACTGCAGGTAAGAGAATGTTCCAGACTGGTGCAGTTCAGCCTGTGTACTTTCAGCTTCCTGTCGCTGCTAATGTTACGACCCCCTCACCGGCCTGACATTTTCACCACGGTGCGGTTTACAGCACAGTTCTCAGAGTCCTGAAGTCCTGGAGGCCTTCAGTGGGGTTTTAAAGAGGAATTCCACTGATTTTAAGAATCAGATTTCTTTACAGTGGTGGTGATAGGAATCAGGGGTCTTTTATGGCCTTTTTTGCCCTCTGAATGACTTTCAGCGATGGAATTATGCACAAATCCCAGATGGCTAAAATCCTTCAGCAGCCAAACACCTGAATCAAGTGCACAACACATGGTTTTTAACCATTATCGCAATATCAGCCTTTGTAGTACTGATATCGGGCTGCAAAGGCTAGTATCGCAAATGAACCCTTTAACCAGTCATAATGTTATTTACTGTTTTTCCTGACCAGTCAAAGCTTTAGATACGTCTCTGTGGGTGTTTGGATGCATCAGAGCGATCTTAGTTATTTATTGTTACTTTGGAGTCACAATATGCACCAGTTTAACCACAGTACTAGCATTTTTGTCCATATCGTCGAGCCCTGACATGCAGTGCTCAGGTCCATTTTGGGAAATGTGAGAAAACTGCAGCTTTTAACACCTGAACACATCTTCAGATGAGGTGTTACCTGTTTATCAGTTGAACAGAGAGGCAGGAGTGCACACACAGTAACGCATTCGCTCTGGCACACGAGTATAGTTCATTTCCCTTGTGGGGCAGCCTACAGTTCTATTCAAATCAATGCAGTTTTATTGATTTATACAGTTGTATGCAAAAGTCTGAACACCCACCGGTCAGATTACAGGTGATTTTTTCATTTTGTAAGGAAAATAAGTTAACACACCCTCCACAAGGAACTGAAATACAAGGCATTTTTCTGCAATTTTTAGTGCAGAATTTCTATTTTAATGAAAAAAAAAACATTTGTTATAAAATATAACTTTTGTACAGGCTGCAGTTTGTTTTATTTGTTTTCCCGTATGTGAAATTCAGCTAATAAACAGTAATCGTGCACTAAAATGTGCAGAAGTGTGTTCTCTGTGGAGGATGTGTTATTTTCCCTTAGAAGCCCAAACTTTTTGTTGGTAAGGGTGAGTAATTTTTGTTGCATTTTCATTAAATTTTATTATTGGTATCATCATGAAGTGTGTTGCATACACTTTTCTGAGTGGTATTGTAGATTTGATAGAGAGAGAGAAAGAGAGAGAGAGAGAGAGGTAGGTAGGTGGGTATTTGGGTAGGTAGATAGATAGACAGATAGATAGATACTTTGTTTTATTTACTTTTATTTTATTCTCTTACTTTATTAGCCAGTAAGAGTCACACAACACAGCGCAGTTATAACAATAAGGCTGATACAATATAAAAAGAATATATACAAAAAACCCATCTACAGGCTGATATACCACTAGAAATATACAAAAATATACAATAAGATCTTTCCTGAGATCAAAAAGGCAGAGGAATAATGAATGTGCAAGGAGGCGCAGGTAATAGCATATAATGACAATACTGAATAAATATGTGCATATACTGGTACTGAAATAAAGTGTCCAGATGTGCAAGGTGTGCGATAAGGTGTGCAGAAGTGCAATATGTACAGTAAGGTGTCCAAATGGGCAGATAGACAAAATAAACCTGTGATTTAGCATAACATTAGGGACGGACAGTGTAACAATATTTTATTGTTTTAGGACAAATTGCATGACAATATGGCACAAATGGGTCAGTGTACCACTATTGTGGCACTAATATTGTGATAAATACAAGTGTCACGCTATTGTATATGCGCCTCCTGTTGTGGGTGTTCGTCTGTACTTAAAGAACATCGGCCAGCTGTATGCTTCACTATAAAGAGAATGCAGTTAGTCCAGTTTAATTGGATTTAGTCAGCACAGTATAGAAATATTGAAGTGAAATGACTGTATTCATAGTTTTTGATATATATATATATATATATATATATATATATATATGTATATATATATATATATATATTTTAAATGTGGCACTACTGGTGAATGTGGGGTTAATATAACAATAAATATCGTGTATCATGAAAATGACATTAAGTGTCTTTATATTGTATATCTGCCATATTGCCCACCCCATTGTGGATATTGTCCATACTTAAAGAACCGACCGACTACATGTTTCACTACAAGGAGGATGTAATTGGACCAATTGGATTTAGTTCAGCGCAGCATGGGAGGTGTTGAAGGGCTGGGGGTTGAGGTGGGGTGGGGGGGGTGGGTGGACTGTGCCGTGTTGTATTCGGCAGCATTACAAAATTTTGCACTGTGGGTGAAATAATGAATTCTACTTGGCACACAGGCTCAGCCATGCCAGCGGCTGCTTCTTTATGGTGTGGGAATTGGTGGGAGTTGGCATAGAAACAGCAGAATGTGCATTTTTGAAAGGCAAATGTCCAACATTTGCCTGCCATACGGCTTTATAAGTGTGCTTTTGCCCCTCCGTTGTGAATGTTACTCACATTTAAACGCTATTTGAATGTAGGCAAAACTGCAAAGTGAATTTTAAAAAAAGAAAAAAGTGAGGTGACTATCTCAGCAGGAAGAGGATTAAATGTCAGAGTTCTTGTGTTTCGACGGTTTTGCACGCACTGGATTTCCTCCCTGTAAAAGCCAGCAGCGCTGCGCGCTCTCCGTCTGCTATTTGTGTCCTGAGTGATGTATATATTTCTGACAGCAGCGCGACTCTGTATGTAATTATGCTTTAAAGCTTTAAAATTGTTCGACACTCCCAAATGCGTGGCCCAAAATAAATACCCTCACCAGCGCAACCTATCATGTTGCCTTTTAATGGGTTGTGAAAGAGGGAACGGCTGTGTTCCCATCGTTCCTCGCTTCGCCACTGACTCGGTGCCACTTCTCCGTGGAGATCGATTTCGAATCGGAGAGAGATTTCGTCCAAATTTACATTCGGAACTGCAGAGTATTTTGAGTGTTTTTTTGGCAAATCTTTTTATTGTTTTTAATAATTGTGTAACCAAAGTATATATATATATATATATATATATATATATATATATATATATATATATGTATATATATATATATATATATATATATATATATATATATATATATTTATTCTCACTACGAACAAGTACAAAGCAGTAAAGCTCGTATTTATGTATGTGGATCTATGAATATGAAAATATTCTATATAACTGGAACAAAAAATGTGCATTAAGCTGGGATCAGATGGCCCTTAAGTTAAATGTCAGTGGATGTGGTCAATGTGCTGGTACAATTATTTAATTCATTTATTTAATTAAATTCACTAAATCTTAATTAAGTTCATTAAATCTTGGAGTGGAACTGATTGTTTTGACTATTATCTAAAGTTCCTGTGCAGTAGGGATGCATCAGTCATGGATTTTTTTGATTCTGATTTTGTCTTCCTTTCTATCCATATTGGCTGATTTTTATTAGTGTTTTTTCCCGTGTGGCCTGTGTGAGCTAAATGAACACATTGGATATTCTAGCATGTGTCCAGTACGTGCACTTTAGCCTAAGTAACAATTTAAATAACATTATTTCCAGTTTACAGTGGACGGTCACTTGCATATTTAAATAATAAGATGATTAAAATGATGCAACTGGCTGTTCAGCACAAAGTTTTATACACAATTATGCCACGACATTCCGGTAGGTGACGTTATTTCCCTCATAAAATGGCAACACAGATCCAAAATCAAAATAATTAATAAAGAATAAATAAGTAATACGCATGTTGTGAAAAGCTTAACCCCTAAAAGGTAAGCGTGCTATAATTTGTTTATTATTTTGCATTTGTCGCTCTTAATAACTCGTCCAGAAATTCTGTCAGTCTAGCAGGTTTCATTTTGTGTACATTTTTGCCTCGTTTCAGTCGTTGTTTAAAGCGCCCATATCATGGATAATCAGTTTCTCCTAGTTTTTTTTATTTATTTATTTATTCATAAATTTATTTATTTATGAATAAAAGTGTTTGAATAAAGTAGTATGTTAACACTGTTTTAAAACATGATGCACAAATGGAAGTTTTACTTTAAAAATAGCCTTTTTTGACTGCAATGTTTCTGTGATGTCATGAAAGTCATTTACTTGCGTCCTCCTCTTCAGCCAACAGCAGCGTAGCCCCGCCCATTCACGCTGAAGCTATATAGAATGTTTCAGCTCAGTTTTGTCAGAGGCAATTCAGGACAGCCAATCAGAACAGAGCTCGTTTACATGCATCAATCTTAAAGGTATAGAAACAAAATCATATTTTTATCCTTCTAAAGGATCTGTGCAATAAACTGTGCAATAAATTATCTGATTATGTAATTACATTCAAATAATTACGTAGTGTAAGCAATAATAATACTAATAATAATAATAATAATAATAATAATACAGTGCTATTTTTGTTTTACTTTTATATAATAAGACATTAATAACTACTTCTAAGGGCTGATGTATTCATCGTGTAAATATTGCGTAGGTGTTCTGCAGTTGCACTTTACATGGTCTTTAATCCCTGCTACTAATTATAACTATTACTTCATATTTATGTAAATAATTAGTTCATGCAAAGCAGTGAGCTTTAGAGCACAGTAAAATTAGCAGGGCAGGCCGTTGCCCCCAGTGCAAGGTGATCTTTCAGTAAACTGCTAGCACATTTGCAAGTCCACGAACTCAAAAGCTGGGAGGAAAGGCGTGGGTTCAAAGCGAGGCGCTTCAGTCTGCTCCCTTAAAAGTGAAACTTGTGGAGTAAAAAAGGAGAAACTCTGAAAATTCCTCATTCTGAACTTACGTTAATGGGTTTTTCTTTTTTTTTCCTGACAGCCTGTGTTTTGACCATAACCTTTACAACCGTCGGGTCGCTAGTTGTCAACTAAACCGGTAATTTTTGCGAATATTACTAGAAAGGCTGGTGAGTCACTCCCTGGTTTCTGTTAT